AAGGACGACTTTTTTTTTTTTTTTTTAAGATAACGATTTAAAAACAGACGTTATCTAGACAAATTCTGCGAATCCTCGCACAAAGGGGTTTATCTTGTCTCTTCCAGCGTATTTTGCACTTGATCTTTCTAATTCCATTTTTTCTCCCTACGGCGTAACGAGGAACGATAAATCAAGGCCGGCATACTTCCGGCCACGAGAGTCGTCAAAGTACGAATCACGGTTTTTCTTTCGGAGGGGGGGAGAGGTGGCCGAGTGTCTCGTGAGGCGAGGCGGTTGAATGCCTCGTCAAGATGTCACCTATTGAGACGAGGATCCTCGAGCTTTTAAATTCCGTAGAAACCGAGAAATTTAATTTCTGTCAGGGGCCACGTGGAATGTCGGGGCCGATTTTGTCGAGAAAAAAAAAATGTTCGAGACAAAGGGGATGAATGGAGATGTCGCTTATTTCATTAGATTCTAATGTTTCGAATATCTTGGATTCTTTGTGTATTTCCTTTCTCCATTGGGAAATACGTATATACGTAGAAATGTATCTACGCTTTTCAATCTTTGATTCTAAAAGTTACAATAAATAATCGAACAAGGAAACGTTATATTCGCTAAATTTTAAAATATAAAAATACAAGGAATCGTCACATGCTCAGAAATTTAAAAAGAAAAATCCAAGAATTCAAAATACATAATAAACAAATCCAAAAATCTATAATTCAAAGAATCAAGTATTTAAGATTCCAAGAATTCAAAATACAGAAATCCAGAAATTTATAATTCAAAAGATTTCAAAAATTTAAAAAGTTAAGAAATCCAAAAATCTGAAATTTATAAAATCGAGGACATAAAATTCCAAGTTCCAAAGACTGAAGATACGAAAATCCAAAGAGAGTTCAGAAATCAAAAAATTTGAAATTTCAGAAAATCAACGATTTCAAAAATTCAAAATATCCAAATCCAAAGATCCAAAATTCAAACATCCACTGTTCATAATAATTCAAAATTTAAAACGATAAAAAAAAATCAAAAAGATCAAAGAATCGAAAATTACAAAAATCCTGAAATACAAAGAATTTCGAAATTTCAGAAAAACAACGATTTCAAAAATTCACAATATCTACATCCAAAGATCCAAAATTCAAACCTCCACTGTTCATACTAATTCAAATTTTAAAACGATAAAAAAAAATCAAAAAGATCAAAGAATCGAAAATTACAAAAATCTTGAAATACAAAGAATTTCGAAATTTCAGAAAAAAATCAACGACGACGAAGTCCGTCACAAGATGATCGAAAACCGAAAAGGCCAGGAATAATCAAAAATCATCCCCCTCCGCTCTGCTAAGGAGAAAATACGGCCAAGGAAACGGAGTCGCACGTAAGGGGTTGCAAGGTGGCTAACGATAATTCCTATCGGGCGTCACGTGCCGCCAATATAAATCACCCCTTCCCCCACTTCCTCTCTCTCATACCCATCCCCCACAATTACCTAATACGTCCGCCACCCTATCCCCAGACACCATCGGTGCAAACCACCCCCCGTGTACTTCGCCATCAGCCCCTGCGGCCACTAACTTACGTTCCAACGCCAATAATAGATCCGGACAGCCTTGGAACCGCGTCTGACGAATTCCCCTAAATCACTGAGTATTTCTCATCGAGCCCTCCGCCACGAGGAGGAGGGGGTGCGTTCGGATATTCGTCACGAAATCATTTCCTTGATGAGATATTAAACCGGGCGTGCGTTCCGAAATATGTGTGTGTGTGTGTGTGTGTGTGTGTCGATCTGGAGTGTGTTGGTAATTTTGGGAAGAGAGGGACAACTATGAGATTAATCGGGGGGGGAGAGAAGTATGTTTTCGGCAGGTTATGGGGTGTGGTATTGGATTCGAAGGAAAAGGGTCGGAACTTGGGTCGTTTCATGGAACGATTTCGGACGATTTTCTTTTCTGAATGTGCGATTTGTGTTTTGTGGTAAATAATGTGGTGGTAAATAATAATAATCCGTGGTATTAAATTCGAGAAAAAAAAAAAAAGTTTGGATTATTCTTGAGAGAGATTCGAATTTGATTTTGACTATTTCTTTTCCTGTTAATTGATGCATTAATTTTAATTTTACAATTAATTCTTTTTTCCCTTCTCGAATTTTTCAAGAATCAATTAACGACGAGGGAAACGTTGTTATTCGAGAAAACATATTATCGAGCATTTACCAGTGAGAATATGAATCTATATAAGAAGACGAGACTGTATCGTCGTAGGATAATTTATTGCGCAAATTTTCCTCGTGGCGCATCTTTGCACAACGTCAATTATCAACGACGTTCCATCAACGATGGACGTTAAAATTCGTTATGGATAATAGAGCCGGGCTCTTCGTCGCGAGGGCATCTCGTTGCACGGCTATAAATTTTCGGCCGAGAACCCGCCACGTCTCCATCCCCGTGCGATCCCATAGAAATCGTTATTAGTCTGGATCCTTATGCGGAAACATAAATTCGATCCTCGTCATCAACGTCAATATGCGTTCTCGTTTCAATATTCGACGAGTCGTTTTATCCGACATCTTAATGTACGATTAAAATAATATTAAAAACGTTACAACGCGTCGAATAAACGTGTCTGCTCTCTGTTATTATGTAAAAGACAGTACTTAAAGTACTCGCAAGTAAAAAGAAGAGAGAATCGAT